GATTTCTTGGCTGGTGGTTGCTGCAAGTGTCTCCAGCCTTGTGAAAGGCCGGTCTTTCCTGAGTCTCCTAAAACTGGAATAAAACAGTGGCATTCCCGTGGTGCTGATGTTTTGTGCCTCAGTGTCTCTCCTTTTTCTCTTTCCATGAGGTTTTCCTTCACCCCTCAGAGCTGCTGTTCCCTTCACTTTGCTCACCTGGAGTGTTAACAGATGTGCTCCTTGGTGTATCCATACATCAGGAATCCTTGGTCGCTGGAGTTTTTCCCCATTGTCCATGAATTAGGAGTTGATGGATGATTTTTCATTCTTTTGAACTCACAACAGGCTGCTCACTGTTACCTTTGCTGGTGGAGCAATTCACAGAACAATTTCAGYGTGTATTGCCTGTATATTGTCAGCATTCCCTATTTTTTCTCTCCTGGGCCTTGGATCCCATTATCCTTTGATAGGTAGCAGCTCTTTGTTCCCACGAGTGCCCTTGAGGCAAAATCGTGCTTTGTGCTTCCCTGGGAATGGCTGAGCAGAAAATGAAAAGCCACTGAAGAACAGGAACAGCCTTTTCCCAGGAATTCCTGTTCCATGGCCGTGCCATCCTTAGGAATTAGGATCTGCCAACACAGCCATATGATCCTTAACCAGTGCCAGGAAATTTTCATAATTAAATGCCCTCCAAGCCATCTGTTCYAGGCTGGCCAGAGCCACCATCACTTGGGGGCACAGAATGGGATTGACACACCGGGCCTTGCAGGAATTATCCTGCAACAACTCTTCAATCAGAGGATGCTCCTTCCCCCTCTGTGCTGCCAGTCTGACACCCAAGGCTTTTCCAGCTCTCCCTTTTTTGTGTGCTCAGCCTCAAATTCGTKCTCAGGACTGTTTGCAGCACTCACAGAGGCTCAGGAGAAAGTCCTTTGGCTCAGGGAGAGGTTGGAAAAGTGGAATCTCATCTTGGAGATAGGGCTGCTGAGCTGCAGCTCCAGTGCCAGTGCCACATGGAGCAGTGGCAAGAGGTCAGGGCTACTTTGGGCAGCAGCTGGGCATTAATAAAGATGAGCTGTAATGGGACACTGCTTCGAGCTGGAAATAGAAGCAGGAAATGATTGGCAGCTCCTCACAGGCTGGAAACCCGGGAAATGCAGACAGGAGAATCCACAGCCAGGGCAGGTGTGGTCAGCAAAGCTTGGGAGAAAGGAGCAGAGAGCCAGGGCTGCTTTTCTGTAGGCTGAAAGCAAAGCTTTTGGAGTCACAGCTCTCTGAATTCCTGTTATCCCTGGTTTTTGTGGCTGTTTTTCCTTCTGACTTGAGGCCTTTCTCCAGAATTTCTCTTCCCAAGTTGAGCTGAGGTCAATCAGCTCCTTGCTCCATGCATGGACCAGCCAGAATTCCCAATGGATACCACTGCAAAACCAAGRCTAGCACTACTGATTTAGAAATCCATAAACTGTTTCCCAACTGAAACCCCCCCAAACTCCTCTGTTACATCATATTCTGTATTTTCCTTCTGCTGCACATATTTGGAGTTCATTTGTACACTGGATATTCCCACAAAAGCAGACATGTAATTTTTTTTTTCCCTAKGAAGGGCTCTTTCTCSTTACTTTGAAGAGCTTTTKGTATAAAACTCCTTATCCAGGGAGGCAGGGAGCATCWCGTAATGGCTGGGCAGAAAGAGGAGTTTTAAAATGGCATTTGCAGAATTTATTATTTACTAAGTTAAATATTTTATCCCTCAGAATAAACTATCCTCAGGGCWTTTCAGGCCTTTAAATCCAGCTCTGTTCCTGCGAGGGCAGAGTTGTTTCTGGAATTGTTTTTCATCATGGAATTTAGGTTAGAAAAGACTAAATACTGTGTAGTTCAACCATCAGCCACCTCTGTGGTCACCACTAAACCGTGTCCCCAAGTGCCCCATCCACCTCTTTTGAATTCTTCCAGGGATGGTGATTGCAGCCCTTTCCTGGGCATCTGTGCCAATGGATTACAGCCCTTTCCATGAAGAAAAGAGGAGCTTTGCTGTGGCTTTTTTCCTGGGAAGGCTGAATTTATTTGTTTACATGAAGACTTTAATTTTCACTAGTAATTATGTGTTGCATATTATTAATTACCCAGGTTTATCAGGCAAACAAAACATCAACTAGAGACCAGTCCTTGCTGGCTGATCCTGATATTCAGCTCCAGCTCAATATAGTGGACTCTGGAATTTGTTAAGATAATCTTTGCAAATAAAGACTTTTTTGGRTGTARYGATGAGCAAAACTTYCCCTGCTATTGTGCAACAATCTGCAAAAATGTTTGTGGTGTTTACCCACTTAATATGAATTTCTGTGAGGAGATCTKAGAGCTCTGAAGGGRYTCCAGGAGAGCTGGAGAGGGACTTGGGAYAAGGGATGGAGGGACAGGACACAGGGAATGGGGTCACACTGGGAAAGGGGRTATTGGGAAGGAATTCTGTGTGTATATTCTGTATTTTCCTTCTGCTGGACATATTTGGAGTGCATTTTTACATTGGAGACTCCCACAAAAGCGAGGCAGACATGTAAATGAATTTTTTTTCCCTGGGAAGGTCTCTTTCTCCTCACTTTGAAGAGCKTTTGATATAAAAGAACTTCAAATTACACAGAAGTTTTTCAATTTTAGATTTTGCTTTGCTGCATCACTAGGCCAAGTTGAGAAGGAGAGAAGGAGAAGGAAAATCCTTCTGAAAATCTTGTAATAGTAACACAAGCTTTTCCTTGAASACAGRATTATATRTTAATTAATATTAATTAATAARCAATATCCATGGTACCAAACAATATCTGAGTTTGCAGGAGGTGACAGAGACTCCATAGGGAAAAGTCAGTTTTCCTAACTTGGAAAAAAACCACTTCATTACTTTGTGCCTGAAAAGAGTTGAAATTCATTTGTTTGAATTATCAAAATAAATGAGCTTTGAATGTCTGACATGCAAATTCCACCCCAGGAGGCTGAAGATTGGCAAAGGGATAAGCAAGGAAAAGCAGAATTTTATAAAAAAATTTGTTTGTTGAGGTTATAAATATCAGATTACCAAATTTYAGGCCAAAGAGGGGCTCTGTTACATGGATTATTGGGGAAGTCTCATTTTCATTYTGTATCTCAAAAATAATATTTGCAATCGGTGTTTTTTTTGTGTTTTCCTCCCAGCTGGGTTGGAGATTAAGATTAAATTGGTTTTTCCTTCATTCTCTGAGGAATTCTTATTATGATTTGGGATTCCTTTAAAAAGTGTGTCCCTGAATTGAAGTAGAACAGGGAATTTGTGTTCAGCTTCAAGTGGGAAAAATAATTTCTCTTAAACTTCCTCACTGACARTGGAATCTGGGATATCCCTGGCTTGTGGAAAGGGTGATTTATTTATACCCGGAGTTAGATCAGAACTAAAGTTAAAGTATTATTTTACCTTCGTACTTCATTTATAAATTTAATTATTCTTTTTATATATATATATTTTACAGTGAGTTCCTTTATATCAGCAGAATAATTGAATTTATACAGGTTCAACATAGCAAAAATAATTTCCTTTCTCTTCTTTTTTTTAGCCTTCTGTTGAGTCTTCAAGCCCAGGTAAATATTTTTAATAATTTCCAAGGTTTTTGGCATCCTGTTAYTGGAAAAGCTTTCCAGGAGTTCCTTTAGTGGGATTGTTGTTGCCTCTTGAGGTTTGATTTTTTTCAGACAAAATAATTRATTGCTACATAATGAAACCTTGTAGTCACCCCTCCCTGTCACACCCTTAGTATGGGTACAGGGTTTGGAAAATGGAATTTAAATTGTGCGAGGAAAAAAAGGGGAAAAATGGGCAGGGTTGGGATTTAAAATGAGGAGAAAAGGGGGAAAATATGAGCAGGGTTGGGATTAAAAATGAGGAGAAAAATATGAGCAGGGTTGGGATTAAAATGAGGAGAAAATGGGAAAAATGAACAGGGTTGGGATTAAAAATGTGGAGAAAAGGGGAAAAATTATCAGGGTTGGGATTAAAAATCAGGAGAAAAATATGAGCAGGGTTGGGATTTAAAATGAGGAGAAAAGGGGAAAAATCCAGGGCTGGATTTAAAACTCAGGTATTGCTGAGTGACATCCACCAGACCATTCATCCATTCATTGCTTTGTCATTGTCCCCAAATGGAACCAAAGAACAGGGAAAAATAACTCAGAAATAAAATCTGCATAACAGGAAACTTGTTTAATGTAAATTTGRGAAAAGTCCTTAGTTTGTAGTTGTGAATGAGCAAGGTGCCAGAGAATAAAGGAGTTTTTATTTTATGAGTTTTTTCCTCGCTGAACAACTCAATTTAGGCAGGTTTGGGATTTTTTAAAAGTTAAATGATCACAAATTGAGTTTTTAATTTAATTAACTAAGGYCTAATGTGCAGAGAAAAGGACCTGGTTCTTCCTGCCAGGATCTCCTCCCCTCAAAAGGAAATTTCCCTGAAGAACAAAACAAAGCCAAAGGGTCAATATTTGAATTTCTGACCACAATTCTGCTTCGAATATCACCAAAATAAATTGAAAAATTCAACTCTGTGAGGCCATGATGTCACTAAAAACCTTGTTGGAAATGTTTCCCATCATTTCAGGAGGTTCAGCAACATCTGATGACCATGAATTTGACCCATCAGCTGATATGCTGGTGCATGACTTTGATGATGAACGGACATTAGAAGAGGAGGAAATGATGGAAGGAGAAACAAACTTCAGATCTGAAATAGAGGATCTTACCAGGGTAGGTGGCCTGAAATAATCCTAAACCACAYCCACATTCTCACACTAAATACACACATGGTTTGAGCCTTCATATTTGGATTTTAAGTAAAAAAAAAAAAACACCCCCAAAACCATTAATAGATTAAAAAAAAAGAGGGGGAAAGGGTTGAATAAATTATTCAAAAATTGGGGAGAAGAAATGGTAGATAAATATTAATAATGGATAAAGCTGTGCTCGTTTAGTTGCTTTTTRCATATACAGGATTTGCATTTTAGAGCTAATCTAAATTAAAATATCTCTGCCTAAAACTCGTATATTCCAACTGCACCTGAGTAGTGCTTGTAGATTTTTATTTAAAAACAAAAAAAATCATAATTTTACATTTCTTGTGGATTTTGGTACAAATTTCTGTCTCATCTAGTGGAGCACACAGGATTATCCTCATTTAAAGGAAGATGCAGAGGAAATGATGTCCAAACCCTATTTACCACAAGTGATTATGCCAATAGCACTTTAAATTAATTTAGTGCAATTAATCAATTTTTCCAGTGTAAATGATAATTTCTTTCTGGCAATTCCAGGTTGTGCTGTCACTTCTGTATTGTCTTCAATTATTTCTCAGGCAGGAATAATATTCTTAAATTACCAAGTAGGTTCATTATAAATGCAAAGTAATTTAGATACTGTCTGTGGCTTGTTGGCCTCCAGAACAGATCATTAACAATTCACAGATGAATATTTGATGTACAAACCCTATTTAGCTTAAGTGATTCTGCCAATATGACTTTAAATTAATTTACTGCAATTAATCTATATTTCCAGTGGAAATGATCATTTTTTTTCCCTGCTAATTTCCAGCTTGATGGTAAATGGAAAACATAAATAAATAGTTGGTGAATCTAAATACTCTTGATGTAGATTAAGTGAGGAATGGAGCTCCACATGTCTGGCATGTGGGGTTTAAGTTGCAAATGTGCTTTTTTCCCTTCATATTTTGTGCAATTCTCTCACCACATTACAACTCTTGAGTTTATCCCCTCATATTCAGTGGTGGGA